TCCATCATGTCTGGAACCGGTGGGGGTTTCTCAATACTTCGATATATTACCCCATGTGAATCGGGCTCTGGAATGGTGGGAGGGACCTCTTCAACGATGACAGTGGCCTCTTGAACGGTGGGGGGAATCTTGAGGGAGAATAGGGGCCTCTTGAACGATTGGAGGGACTCTTGAGGGATGACCGGTGAGTCGGGCTTCTTCTTGCGGAGTCTTCGCACCATTGGGGTGAACGGAGACGTAATAGCACGTCCACGCCGTCTGATGCGTGAACTCCGTCGTGCAAGGAAAACCCGATGTAAAGCATCCACCTTATCGGGCCGCTAAAAAAAATTAATACATAAATCAGTAAATAAACAGACATGATATTAAACAAAGACAAATATGTTTCAAACTAGCATTGTATTCACCTAAATCATTATTCTATCATAGTTCACAAAATGCTCATATAACATTCCAGAAGTAAGCACTTATATAAACATTTAAAAGGACAACATATATAAACATTCCAGAAGAATAATAGTTTACTTTCGCAACACGAAACTTAAAATCGCAACGCGAAATGACTATCGCAACGCGGAAATGGCTATCGCAATGCGAAATGAAAATCGCAACGCGAAATGAAATCGCAACGACAAAATCGCAACGCGAAATGAAATCGCAACGACAAAATCGCAACGCGAAACACAAATCGCATTGCGATTTTCATTTCGCGTTGCGATTTTGTCGTTGCGATTTCATTTCGCGTTGCGATTTTGTCGTTGCGATTTTCATTTCGCATTGCGATAGCCATTTCCGCGTTGCGATAGTCATTTTCGTGTTGCGAAAGTAAACTATATTCTTCTGCAAATTGAAACTTGAATGGATTGCATTACTTCAACCAAAAGACAAAACAAAACCAAAAACAAATACTAACAAAAACAGATTGGCAGCAACCGAATGAATTACGAGTATGAAAAATCTTAAACTTACCTCGTTGCGTAGAGTATGAACCTCATTCTGCAATGATGCTACCATCTCACGTAGAGCGGCTACCTCACCGCGTAATGTAGACACCTCAACACGCCATGCACCATCGTCTTTGCGTAAAGTACCGACCTCCTCACGCAAGGCATTGACCTCATCACGTAACTCCCCTAACTCATCCCGTTGAGGTGGAGGTGGAGAACAGGGAGATAAACGTCGTGACATCTTTGCCGGTCGCCTATCTTGCGGTGATGGTGGAGAAGAGGCTCGATGATGTGAAAGAATAGGTGATGGCTGTCGTTGTGGAGGTGTATAGCCGGGTCAATCAGATGATGGCTCTAGGTGAGGTGATAGCTCTAGGCGAGGTGATGGCTCCCGAAGTGGAGGCTGCTCATCAACCGTTCCATCAAAAAAACGCTTACTAGCTTGCCACCAATCAGTGGCAAGCTCAGCTTCCGTGGGTGTCAGCCTCTGTAGAGGAGTGTTGGCCTCCTAACAATATAAAAGCTTAAACAAAGTTAAATGTGTACTAGTAATAACTTGTTTATAAACATATGGTAGTATTTATGTTAACTTACATTATTTATTGTCGTATACCGTAGTAAATCTTCCCATTGCAAGGTTCGTTTCCTCTTCCAGGAAATAGCCCTGGGAATATTATTTGAAGTTTTTATTGCATATGTCTTCATGGCGGGAAAGGCCTCAAATATCCAAATCTACAAACAATATAATAACAAACATTAGTAATTGTTAAATAATTACTTATAATTTTGGAAACATTATATAAAAATTCTTACCTTAAAGGCCCAAATAAAGCATGTCAAAGTGTATTTGGAACCATCGCCATGCAAACTTTTTCGATCATCCAAGGCAGACGATAACTTATTCCATGTAGCTTTCCATAAATACGAGCCCCACGGAAACAGGTTCCACGCATTTAGGTCTTCTACCAATTTGATTAGATCATTTGGAATAGGTTGTCTGGCCTCTCGCCTAAAAAGCCGGCATGCAAAAGAATTAGAAGGCATACTCGGACAACGTCGACGTCATCCATCCGAGTAAAACCATCTTTATTATTCAAAAATCTTGTCAGGTCTTCTACGTGTAGACTCGGCCTCTCCAGCTCAGGAAAAAACCCAGGATAGCCATGATGGCGGGTAATGTGTCTAGTGTACCGACCTACATCATCGTGTCCGAAGCGTAGACCGGTGATTAAGCAAAACTCCTCCCGCCCAAAACACGTATACGCCGGTGGAAAATCAAACCATATCTCTTCATCACGACGTTGTATAGTCTCTGGTAGATCTCTAGTCATGGTTTGAAGAAACAGGTGTCAACATCGCATCTCCACCGGGATGTTGTACTTTCAGCCATGGCCCGAAGCATGTATCCTCAAACATTTTTCTTTGTGCAGGTGAAAGCTTCGACGCAATTGTTTTGGCCAGGCTGACTTTATTTCTCAAGGTCAATTGAGCCGAATAAAAGTTCTACAAAAACAATAAACATACTAAATTAGATATACCAAAAACTACACTATGAAGATATACCAAAAACAATAATAAACATAAATAGTAGTAGTTTATTCTTCAAACTTAAATATGCAACACTGTGAATTTCGTATTTGTCTTTGTTTTTTAGTTGAAGTAATGCAATTCATTCAAGTTTCAATTTGCAGAAGAAGAATAGTTTCTGAAAATGAAAATCGCAACACGAAAATGACTATCGCAACGAGAGAATCGCAACGCGAAACTAAAATCGCGTTGCGATTTGCATTTCGCGTTGCGATTCTTGGTTGATTTAATAAGCAATCTAGTGAAATGGTTAATCTATTATTGAAATTACCAGTAAACCTATCATCAATTTCAATATGAAAAACCTAATAATAATGCAAAAATTTCAAAAAGAAAATAATTAAAAAACTAACCCTCGTTGGTTGATTTGGTTGATTTTCCATTTCTGATTGTTAGGGTGGCTCTGAGAGATTTAGATAGACGGATTTCGCCGGAGATGGGGATGGATTTCGTCGGAGATGGGTGAGAGAGTGAGAGATGGAGATGGGACTGAGTTGTGATTTTAGGTTTTAGGTTATGAGTTGCGATTACGGGATATACTGTGGACAGTTCAGTGTTCCAATATATATTCATGTTTGGAATTTAAAAATAAAATACTTGGCCAGGATACTAATGGCGCTTTGAAAATCGCATTGCGATTATGTATTATCGCGTTGCGAAAGTCAGTATCGCGTTGCGAAAGTAAGTATCTCGTTGCGATTTTTTATTATCGCATTGCGATAGTCAGTATCGCATTGCGATTTTCTCAATTCGCGTTGCGATTTACTTATTCGCATTGCGAATTTCCCAATTCGCGTTGCGATTTACTTATTCGCATTGCGAATTGGGAAAATCGCAACGATACTGTAGACCATCGCAACGCGATTTTCAACTATCGCATTGCGAAAATGCAACGCGTATTTGCGATAATGGAGATCGCGTTGCGAATTAGCGATCGCATTGCGATTTTGTTGGTCATTTTGGCAAATCCGGAAAAAGTTGGTTAAAATCGTATATTATATGGGATTTTTGGTCACTGAGGTTATTTTCTCTTATAAAAATCATACAAATAAACATCATAAGTTAAAATTATCCCAATTAGGGATGGCCATAGGTCGGGTTTTTGGTCCACCCGACCCGACCCGAGAACAAGGGGACATCCACCTGAGACCCGACCCGACCAAAATAAAGTTTCACCCGACCCGACCCGACCTGAATATATGAATTAAAAACCCGACCGACCCGACTCAAAATAATAAAAAATTATTTTTATTCAATAAAAATAATGATTTAATTGAAAAAAATTTTATATAGAGGGGTATTATTGTAATTATTCCTAAATATATAAGGTAAAATTATATATTTTTTTCGGGTTGGATCGGGTATTTTTCACCCTAAACCCGACCCAACATGAATACTAAACTTAAAAAACCCGACCCGAACCAGTTTTTTTTTAAAATCTGACCTGGTCCTGAAATTTAAAAAACCCGACCCGACCCGACCTGACCTGAATATTACACTTAAAAAAACCCGACCGACCCGAATATCAAACTTAAAATAACCCGATCTGAACCCGAATTTTTTTTAAAAAATCTGACCCGAATACCAAAAGATTAATCAGGGTAGTATGGTCAAATTTCACATTTACCCAAGAATTTCAATTTCATCATGTTATGGATGAAATTTACTTTCCCTCCCTTAATGGAATTGAATTTCAATTCACCCTTTGAAAACTTGAACCAAACATGAGAAAGTGGTGAAATTGAATTTTAATTCTCCTAATTTCAGCGGATTCCAACGAACCAAACACTACCTCACTAATGGAGAATACATTGATTTTTGACATGATCGTTGGGTTGGACTCATGTACTTGAAAGAAGCGTTCTCCCGAATTTTCGCTCTTGCAGTAAAAAAGGAAGACAAAGTGGGCGAGTTTGGAAAGTGTGGCAATGGAAAATGAGAGTGAAACATCTAAACCCAGACAAGACTATTTGGTTGGGAGATCGAACGTTGGGAAGAATTTTTTGTTGTTATTTCTAGGGCCTTGAGAAGTTCTGCAAGCAAAGATTGTGTTAGGTGGTTTGGAGCTTCGAATCGTATTTATTCGCCGAAAACGTTTTAGGTAAATTCATTCCCATCTAGATCAAATGTGGAAGGTGTATAGAAGGTGTGGCCCCTCCACAAGTGGTATGTTTTATTTGGAGAGCGGTTCAAAATCCAAAAAAAGGCAAAATTTAAAGTGTATCATACTACAAAATCAAAGATCTAAGTATTATTTTTTAGATTAATCATTAGTATCTATCTATTAATCGACTAATCCAGATCGAATATTACAGAGGCGAAATTTTTTCAACTCAGTTTACTCTATTCACAAACGTCAAAATTCAAATCCCTTACCTTGCTTGCTTAGAATACATAATTACTATTCCTATTAGATCAATTGATTGTTTGTAGTATTAATTATTAAATAGTGTTAAAAATATTAAATCCTTTTTGGGATTTTCCTTATAAGAAGGGCGCCAAATAAAAAATACTCAAACCCTAAAAGTTTCGATCAATTTTGAAGAAAGTTGAAAAAAAGAGAAATTGTTGAATACAATCAATGGCGAATCTTCCAATCGTGCAGTTCGGGAAGAAGATTTTAGAAACAGTGGAGCAGAATCAAGTGGTGGTGTTGATAGGAGAGACCGGTTCGGGAAAGAGCACTCACCTCTCTCAGATGCTCTACCGCAAAGGGTATACCGATTCCGGTATCGTGGCCGTCACTCAGCCACGTCGTGTGGCTGCCGTCTCTGTTTCCAGGTACTGTTCCAAAGCAAACTAGGAACTATAATGCTTTAGGAATTCAGAACATGTAATTTTTTTGCTTACAGTTAGGCTTTTTGTCGATGAAGGAAATGGAATAAATCCTTTCATTCTTACTGTTTATGCGCGTAGACGAGTTGTGCAGGAGCTTGATGTTAGGCTTGGGGAAGAAGTAGGCTATGCTATTCGGTTTGAAGATAGAACTTCCGAAAGAACAAAAATCAAGTAATGCATTTAAGCTTAAACAATATAATTCTCAGTTGCAGTGTTTTTGCTGTTGTTGTAATTTCCAACTTTATTGGTTATTTAACTACGGTGCTATGTAAAAATTGCATAGATACCTTACTGATGAAGTGCTTCTTCGAGAAAGCCTGTCAAATCCAGAACTAAATCAGTATTCTGTTATTATTTTGGACGAGGCTCATGAAAGGAGTCTGAACACGTAAGGTTCATCTTATATCCTGTTTCTTTTAACTATAATTTGATTGTATTTTCTTTGTTGGGTTTATGCTGTAGTTAAAGAATCTTTAATTTCTCAGGGATATTCTGCTGGGGTTGATGAAAAGCTTAGTTAAAAGACGCACCTCCAAGTTTAAAGTGCTGATAACATCAGCAACACTTGATGGTGAAAAAGTCTCGAAGTTCTTTTCAGATTGTCCCTTGTTGACTGTCCCTGGAAAATTATTTCCTGTGGAAATATTCTACAGCAAGGAGCGTCCTAGAAGCTATCTCGAGTCTTCCCTAAAAACAGCTCTGGGTATGTTGTGAGTTTATCTTTGTTACATATTCAGTTGTTGCAAACTTTATTATGCATATATGATGGCCATTTCTTGTTGTTTAACTAGCCTGCAATGCATTTGCTTTCTGCACCACGGTCTGCTCTAGTTACATAGTAAATTATAAAGAATAACCAAGTTTTTTTTATTCCTTGTATTATGATTGTTATCCCTTCTGACATCCACTAAGAATTTATTGATTAAATAGTATTATTTGTGCACCCTAGTCGTATGATTGCATGTGCTGAGGTGTTGAGGCACAATGCACATCAGCTGTACGCTAACCTTGATTCGTACTAGAAATTTTGGATTTCTGAAATTTCTTGGCATTCATATTTTGATGTTATGAGATCTTACTATGTAATGATTTTGGCAGATATACATGTTCGGGAACCAGAGGGTGACATCCTAATATTCATGACTGGACAAGCAAGCTTTCTGTCTCTCTTCTTTCTTACTTCTGGGGGTGGCATTTGATGTGGATTTAACTTGTATCTTTTTCTTTCTTGTTTATACATTGATTCATTGATGATTTTAACTGATTCTTTTAAAGCTGAGTGGTCTTTTATAGGATGATATAGAGAAGTTGGTATCAAAGCTGGAGGATAAAGTTCAAAGTCTAGAGGAAGGCTCCTGCATGGATGCATTAATCCTTCCTCTTCATGGTTCATTGCCACCTGAAATGCAGGTATACATTTATCTCAAATTTTCTTTTTTCTCTACCTCTGTTGCCTCATAGGAAATGAAATCAACTTGAGCTATATTTTCTTCAGATGCTGAAATATAATTGTATTAAATTCTTTTTCCCCACAATTTTTTGGTTGACATATTCTTGTTTGCTATGACCAACAGGTGCGTGTATTCACTCCACCCCCTCCAAACTGTAGGCGTTTTATTGTTGCCACAAACATAGCGGAAACTTCTTTGACAGTCGACGGTGTTGTGTAAGCAAATTTGATGCTTGTAAAATGTTTCTTGTCAGTGCTTGTCTTAGTTCTGTTAATTTAATTTCCACAATTTGACCTGCCTCCTAGCCAAAATTACTTGTTTATACTTTAATTCTTCTTTTAAATTTTGATAGGCTTGATTAGGTTCAAAATTTCTTAACTTGGGTGGAGAGGTTTTTTTTATAGGAATAGGTAGCCTCATTAAAAACCTCCCTCTTAGAGGTCCTATACCATAAGGTAAGAACCAACTAGCGGAATGAGGAAAAGAGTGCCACAATATATTGATTTCTAAAAAGTTACATAAGACTTAGAACAATCCTGCCAATTACATAAAACTTAAACACACTCCTCTAAAACCTTACTGAAAAACACCTCAGCTAAATAATACAAGGAAAACTATCACCCAATTCCCTCCTTTGCTAGTAAATCAACCTCGCAAGGGTGGAGAGGTTTTTGCATCCACTGTTTTCAATGTCTACCATGCACTGTTAAGTTGGCTATATGTGATAAAATTTCCTTAGAATCATTGCAAATATCAGAGACCTTTGACTGATTCTTCTATGGAGATGGAGAGCTTTACGTTAAAGGAAAGAATATTAGATTCAAGTTGTTGTAAGCCTTGTTTTTCTTCTATTTTTAATCTTCCTGAATGGAATATAGGGTATATAATAAATTGCAGGAATGTTACTAATGTATACTAATATCCTCAATTTTGGTCTTTATGAATCAACATTTCCTTAATTTGCCACTATCATGCAAATATTTCTACTCTTAGCAAAGCAATTACTGTGTCATGACTATGTAGGTTTAACATAAATGGTCAAATGTAAACCAATAAGTGGCGAAGTCCTTGATCTCCATGTCCAAAAGTTTTGGTAAAATAGACACATAGCAGAGACAAGGCTATTATGAATATCTAGAGGAAGACCTTTGCATTATATATATTTAATTATACAAATAATCAAATGGTAAATTGTTTCATAATTATTTTAATGAAATCACAATGTTATAGTTTGGTTTAATCCTTTTCCTCTTTGTTTCTTAATTTTACAATTTTCTACCTAGAGGAAGTCACTAAGATTTGGTCTTAAGGGTTCTACTAAGTGTTAAGATTTGTATATGGTCCAATGGTGACTATATTATTGTGATTCCACCCCCTATGGATTTTTTGAAGATGAATGTCGATGGAGCTGTTAGACTTGATGGCTCAAATGGAGGTATAGGAGGTATTTTGAGAGATTGGAATAGCAACTCCCTTCTGACTTTTTCAGAAAATGTAGGTCAGGGTCCCCCGCCGGTTGCTGAGTTAAAGGCTATTAAGAGAGGCATTGAAATCTATATGTCTTCTTGTTGGGTTAAGGTTGGAAGGTTGATTGTGGAAAGTGACTGTAAGTCGGCTGTGGAATGGGTTCATACCCCAGCTTTGGCCCCTGTTTTTATCCTCCCATTAGTTAAAGAGATTTCATCTTTTATCTCGGACAGGGTGCACTCAATTAGACTGATTCCAAGGGTGTGTAATGGGGAGGCTGATAGTTTAGCAAAGATGGGAATTGGTTGATGTTTAGTCGTTTCCAGTGCGTTTTATCGTTTGAGTTTAGGTTTTTGGTTCTGTTGAGTAGCTTAGTCTGTTGTGTTTTTTCAGTATGGTGTTTATGTTAAATCTTATGTAATTTCGGAGGAATAATAAAGTTTCTAAGGCACTCTTTTCCTCCTTCTTTGATCAAGAAGGAGGTTTTTAAGGAGGCCTGTCATTCTTATCAAAAAAAAAATTGTGATTCATTGTAATGTATATGTTAGAATTATGTTTATTAAGGAATAAAGTCATTCCTTAATTCTAGGAGTTAAGTTAGACTAGATATTCTCTAAATCTTAGTTCTACATTTTTAGGAATTATTTACTATCTACTTTCCTATAAAATGTGCACTATTGATTCTTGGAAAATAGAATAAAAGAAGAATAAAACTTCTTCTCTTAGTTTTGTTCATGACATTAGAGCAGTAGGTCTTACTCAATCCTGCTCATTTTTCCCTATTGTCTTGTATTTCTTAATGGTAGACAATACAAAAACTTCTTTAAATCCGAGACTTCACATGTGATTCAAAAAACTCCTAAACGATCAGGATATCGCTTATGGTGTAGCTACTACAATCGCACCGGTCACACAAAGGATAAGTGCTTCGAACTTAATGGCTATCTCGGGACAACAAAAAATCAGGAAGATAACAAGGCATTGCTTTCCTCCAACACTTCATCAGCCTTCACAGAAAATGTCCTAGACATTAGTCTAATCAAATCTCAACTTGAAACTCTCCATAAGATGCTTGGTACACCAACCGCACATGGATCATTGGCCTTTCATGATACTGCCCTTAATACTATCTCTGAATCCAATAATCAGTCCTCCTGGATTCTAGATTCGGACACCTCCGATCATATGACAGGTAACTCGTTCCTGTTTCACACATATGCCTTTTGCCATAACCAATCACATATTCGAATAGCAAATGACTCGTACTCTCCAGTTGCTGGAATTAAGGCTATTCATCTCACCAAGAATTTTCCGCTTGATAAAGTTCTACATGTCCCTAATTTATCCTGTAACATGCTTTAAATTAGTAAGCTCACAGAGGATAAGAATGTCCTTGCTGAATTTTCTGCTTTGCTCTTGGTTGTGTTATCTAAGAACAGAAATCGGGAAGGATGATTGGCACTGTTAAGGTAGACAATGGACTCTACATATGGGATAATCACAATGAAGTGAATAAACAAGGAGGACTTGCAAGTAAGATCAGCTCTTTTTGCTTCGAATGAGGAAACCATAATGTTATGGCACCCAAACTTCTTGTATTTGAAGAAATTGTTTTCTCAGTTATTTTGCAACAAAAATGCCAATTCCTTTAAATGTGAAACTTGTCAATTATCTAAACATACACGTTCGCCATATCCTTTAAAACCATATATCCAATCCCAATCTTTCAACTTGATTCACAGTGACCTTTGGGAGGCTAGTCGAATTAAAAATGTCACGAGAGCTAGATGGTTATCACCTTCATTAATGACCATACTAGATTATGTTGGGTCTATCTCAAAAAAAAAAATCCGAAACACCAAAAATATTTTAGAATTTTCATTCCATGATCCATACCTAATTTAACTCCATTATATACAATCAACACCGATAGTGGAAGAGAATACTTCAACTCTGTTTTGAGTCTATACCTTTCCGATTAAGGAATCATACATCAAAGCTCATGCCCGTCACAACACAGTAAAATGGAATTTTTAAATAGGAAAACTGACACCTACTAGTCGTTGCTCGAGCCCTAATGTTCACATTGAATGTCCCAAAATATTTGTGGGGGAGACGGTACTCATCGCTGGCTACCTAATAAACCGAATGCCTTCTAAGGTCTTTAACTTCCAAGCACCTATCAATACCCTACCAAAAGCCTTTCCACTATTCCGTGTTCCTACATTGCTTGTAAAAATCTTCGGGTGCAAGGCCTTTGTTCATAATCACCAACCCAAACAGTCTAAACTAGATCCTCGGGCTCATATATGTGTCTTCATAGGGTATTCTCCCACACAAAAAAGGTACAAGTGCTATTCTCCAACCTTGCATCACTTGTTTGTCTCTCGCGATGTCACATTTTTTGAATCCGAACCCTACTTTTCAGTAACTCATCTTTAGAAGGACACTCTCAATGAAGATGAGACCTTCAATAATCTTCTCATCATACCCTTTGACTCTAGTATCTCTATTACACAAAATCCAATAAATCCTAATAACCATGGCATTCTTCTTAGCACAGATACCTCTGCCCTTCCCATCGAAACAGAACAGGAAAATACTATTGTCCTTCCCACCGAAATACAACAGCCTCATACCCATGTCCTTCCCTCCAAAATAGGACATCAACAAGCTTTCGAGCTCCTTGTTTATTCACGGCGCCGTCATTCCTCTGAAGTTGACACAATAACAATGCCAATCTCATCCAAACCCAATGACTGTTCTGTACCAGAAGTTTATTTCTCTCCAATTTTCCAATTGTAGTTTGCAAAGGCATAAGGACATGTACACAACACCCTATTTATCGGTTTGTATCTTATAGGAATTTATCTAAGGCATATAACACTTTTGTGACTAATGTTGATCATGTAGACACTCCAAGAAATGTGAAAGAAGCCCTTGAATCAATAGAATGGAAACATGTTGTCCTGGAAGAAATGAAGGCACTCAAAGAAAATGGAACATGGGAAGTTTTGAATCTACCCGAAGGAAAGAAAACAATAGGTTGTAAATGGATTTTTACCGCAAAATTCAGACCCGATGACTTGTGGCCAAAGGTTTCACCCAAACCTATGGTTTTGATTACGACGAGACATTCGCACCTATTGCAAAACTTAATACGATACGAGTGCTCCTTTCCCTTGATGTCAACCTAGATTGGCCATTGACTCAATTAGACGTGAAGAATGCCTTCCTTAATGGCGAATTAAACGAGGAGGTATATATGGATTTTCCAGTGGGGTTTGAAGAAGAGAAGGGTCGAGTGTGCAAATTAAGGAAGTCTTTATATGGGCTGAAACATTCCCTAAGAGCATGGTTCAGTCGATTTTCTAAAGCCATGAACAACAGAAATTATACTCAGGGACAAGCGGATCATACTTTGCTTTACAAGCACTCGGAACTGGTAAATGTGCAATTCTTATAGTTTATGTTGACGATATCATATTTAATGGGAATGATCTGAGTGAAATTAGTGAACTGAAAAAGTTTCGTAGCACATAATTTGAGCTCAAGGACTTGGGAAACCTAAAATACTTCCTTGGAATGGAAGTAGCGAGGACACGAACATGTATTTCAATTTCTCAACGAAAATATGTACTTGATGTACTAACTGAAATTGGCATGTTGGGCTGCAAACCTGTCGGAGTTCAATTTGAACTTAGGCACTAATGAGGTTGGAGAAGAAGTAAACAGGGAGAGATATCAACGATTTGTGGGAAAACTCATATATCTATCTCACACGCGATTCAATATCAGTCAGTATATGCATGCACCAAGGGAGAAACACTTGGAAGCTACCTATCGAGTGCTAAGGTACTTGAAGAGAACTCTGGGTAAAGGTCTACAGTTCAATAAAACAGAAAGTAGATATGTGGAAGTTTATACTGATGCAGATTGGGCTGGTTTAGTGAGAGACAGGTGTTTTATGTGTGGTTACTATAGCTATGTATGGGGCAACCTTGTGACATGGAGAAGTGAAAAGAAGTCCGTCGTAGCTCGTAGTATTGCCAAGGTTGAGTATCGAGCTTTGTCGCATGGTATGTGCGAGGGAATCTAGATACACAGATTAATGAGGGAACTCCAAGTATCATATGACAAACCCATGAAGATGTGTTGTGACAACCAGGCAATAGTTGGTATAGCACAATCTTGTCCATCACGATCATACCAAACACATGGAATTAGATCAACATTTTATCAAAGAAAAAGTTGACTTAGGAGAGGTGTGCCTAACCTACTTACCCATGAAACAACAAGTTGCATACTTGTTAACTAAAAGCCTCAATAAAAGTATGTTTGAAGATCTTAGTGGTAAGCTGGGTTTGATCAACATCTACACGTCAACTTGAGGGGGGTGTTGGAATTCTGTATATTAAGGAATAAAATCATTCCTTAATTTTAGGAGTTAGACTAGATATTCTCTAAATCTTAGTTCCAGATTTTTAGGAATTATTTATTATTCTTTGCTATACTTTCCTATAAAATGCATACTATTGATACTCGGAAAATAGAACAAAAGAAGAATAAAACTTCTTCTCTTAGTTTTGTTCAGTATACCAAATTCTGCCACCTGCTTTTGCACTTGGTCTCGGTTTATAAGATCAATAGCAATGATATGTTGATTGATTTTCTCTAAATTAGTTATCTGTATATTTCTAGGTATGTTATTGATTCTGGTTACGTGAAGCAACGGCAATACAACCCAGCAACTGAAATGTATTCCCTTGATGTTGTTCAAATTAGCAAGTAAGTGGATGACTTAATGTTTCTTTCAGCTTTTGCAGAACATGTCTTTGTAGTAGCGCAACTTACAGTTGTGATTCATTTTGGTCTATATTTGTTTGCAAGTTCAATTTTCCTTGCATGATTTTACCCCTAATTTTCTCTGAACAAATTTATGTTCTTATCTTTCTTTTGTCACTTGAGTGGTCAGTTACCATTCTTGCAAATAATATTCCCCCCTTTTTCTTTTTGAATATTTTTTTTGTATTCTTTGAGGGTACAAGCTAATCAACGTGCTGGACGAGCTGGAAGAACACGTCCTGGGAAGTGCTACCGTTTATACCCATCCAGTGTTTACAATGATGAATTCCTGGATGCAACTGTTCCTGAAATACAGCGATCTTCTCTCGCTGGCAGTGTTCTTTATCTAAAGTCATTGGATCTCCCTGATATTGATATTCTGAAGTTTGATTTTCTTGATCCCCCTTCTAGTAAGAATGAATTCTTATTGTTTTCATTTGTCGTTAGGGCATAATGAAAGAACCAGCAATTGAGTTATCACTGTTTAAAATTTCCTTTCTGCCACTGTGTATTGTATTGTTTCTGGCAATGTCTCCTTATTGAATTGAGATATTGAATGTCTGGTTTAACTGCAGCTGAGTCATTAGAAGACGCTTTAAAGCAACTGTATCTGATTGATGCCATTGACGAAAATGGATCGATAACAAGTATAGGGCGAACAATGGCTGGTAAGGATTCAACTTGCTTTCAAGTATTACCATGCTAACCAGTTGCCGTTAATTGATAAATTCATGCATAATTTCGTAGCTGCTGCTAGTTATTTTTCCCTCGGTCATGTTTATGATAACTATGGATTTGCAACCCCTGAAACTGGGACCTTCATGAAACTAAACCCAGAATGGCCACCTTCATTAATTCCTAGTTAACTCGTGTCTACAACGGGAAATCATGAGTTACTATAAATTAAAATGCTAAGGAATTATATTTACCTCGAATGACCTTGCAAGATATGAATCTGAATGCAGTCAACTTATTGGTGATCAATTACAAACCCTTTCCATGAAACCAAACTCATAATGGCCACCTTCATTGATTCTTTGTTAACTCATGTCTAAAATTGGCAAGCATGAGCTACTGTCTATACCAATGCTAATGATTTTACTTACCTGTAATTACTATTTGTTTTGATAAGTTGCTATTCTTTGTGTTGTTTTATCATAGCTACTACTCCTTTGCATAAAATAATTTTATAGTGCTTTTTTTTTCTTGGAAACTGCTTTATTTTGCAGATGTTCTCATTGCACAACTTTGTATTTGTCTGCAGAGCTCCCATTGGAACCTTCACTTTCGAGAACTTTAATTGAGGCAAATGAATTTGGTTGCTTATCCCAGGCTCTGACTGTTGTAGCCATGTTATCAGTTGAAACAAATTTGCTTCCCGGTCGAAGGTTATGTTATGCAAGTTGTTATGAGATTGTATATTATAAGCATGCTGACTATAGCTTTTCCTGTTATCTTTAACTTAGAAGCAACTAGTTGGACTGTTAACTGTGCAAATTGGAATTTGCAGCTACTGCCTGCTGACGTAGTACCTTATATGCATAAAATATCCTCTGTTCTTCAAGTTTTCTCCAAGATGGATTTGATTAGCAGAAGGAAAATGAAATTATTTCACTTTATTTTGAGATCTCTGATCTTTTGGAGATGGGTAGTTGGGGCTTAATGATATCCAAATTCCATCAATTGAAATGAAGTCTGTTTTTCCATAGTTGCAGAGATGTTCTCATTTCTGAATGCTTAATGGTCGATTCTAATAAAATAATTTTTCTCTAACTGCAGCAAGAATAACGAGAATAAAAGGAAGCACCCTCCATTGGAACTTCCTGATGGTTCTGGTTTTGGTGATCACATCCAACTGTTACAGATCTATGAATGCTGGGATGAAAATGATTACGATATTGGTTGGTGCAAGGATTATGAATTACAGGTATGCTTCTTATCCTCCAATTTAGAAAACATGCATTTGGAAACTGTAAGATATTAGGCATGTCATTTTGATCGTTTAATGCTTTCTTTTAACAATAATAAAAATGTGCCTCAATTACTTGATGTTTGTGCATACCATGTCATTCTATTTTCAGATGGATCTTTCTATGATGTGCAGTAGTGCCCTTGACCCCGATACATTATCAATGGAATGCCTTGCATACTATTCTCATTCTAAAGATGATCATGAATAACACATTTGAGACGTTTTGTTTTTTAGGTGCGAGGAATGATGTTTGTCAAAGAAGTTCGAAAGCAGCTGTGTCAGATAATGCAGAAGATAGCAAAGGGTCAGCATTGATTTGACTTAGCAGTGATTTCTTGAGATTTTGCGTTTGTTAATTTGACTTGGCTTTACTTTCATATCTATCTCACATATTCAACCAGAAGTACACGTCTTTGCCATTCTACAGCCTTAGGCCTGGTTCCTAGAAAAAAGATTCATGCTTGAAATAATAGTTTGGCAGCATAATAGCTTTCTATGAAACTTGTGTAGCGTTGATTCGGTTGTGTCCAACGAGGGTATGTTCAATTTTTTTCCCCAAAATTTTCTATAGGAATTATAGAGATGATTTGTTACCATTCCTATAGAGATATGATTTGTTACCATTCCTATAGAGATATGATTTGTTACCATTTTTATAGAGATATGATTTTGTAAATAGATTTCTACAATCCCTTATTTTAAGAGATCATATTCTAGGATTATTATTTTTCCTTTCTTAGAGTTTCCTACTTTAGAGAGATATTTTGTATATAAATATGTAATCTGTCATATTGAAAAGAATAATAAATTACAGAGAATTACTCTGATTTCTACATGGTATCAGCTTAGGTTACGGTTTCTTTCCAACCTAGATAATGTCCACAACTTCTTCTCCTACTCCGGAGATCACTTCAAATCCAAAAAATTTTTCTGGTTCTGCTGCTCAATCAGAAGGTAATATGGCCATGAAAGAACCAGAAGGTAAATCTCATGCTACAGTTTTTTTCTCCTCCCAGTAGTCCCCTAATTGGATCCTCGATTATGGTGCTACGGATCATATGACTGGTAATAAGGATTTGTTTTGCAATTGTTTTCCAAACTTTGGTAAAGCTGTCAAAACGGCTGATGGTTCTTTGTACAAAATAGAAGGATATGGCACTGTTATTCTCAATGATCAGATTGTACTTAAAAATGTCCTCTTCGTACCAAATCTGGCTTGAAATCTCGTTTCCGTTAGTAAATTTTCCACCGACTTGCACTGCTCTGCAATTTTTAATGATATTGATTGTACTTTGCAGGCACTGAACTCGAAGAAGATGATTGGTAAGGCCAGGTTGCAGAATGGTCTCTACATTCTTCATGCCTCTACTAAAATCGAAATCTCGAAATCTTTCACCGCTTTAGAAAAAGTTGATAATGTTATGTTGTGGCACTATCGTTTAGGTCATCCTAGTTTTCACTATCTTGCAAAAGTTTTTCCTGCTCTATTCATTTATAAAAGGCCAAATTCTTCTTCTTGCAAAGTTTGCTCTCTTGCCAAAAACACTAAATCAACTTATTCTCCTTCTACATATAAGCCTTCTCACCCTTTTGCTTTGATCCACAGTGATATTTGGGGTCCTTCTCGGGTGAAGAATGCTGATAATTGTAAGTGTTTTATCACTTTCATTGATGATCACAGTAGGATAACTTGGACTTATTTGCTAAAAGATAAATCTGAAACTGCAGGTGTTTTTACCCAATTTTATAACATGGTTCTCACCCAATTTGGGTCTAAAATTCAGCTCTTTAAATATGATAATGGCAGTGAATTTTTTGCTAAGTCTTTGGGTGCGTTTTTCAGGAAAAAATGCATAGTTCAGATTAGTTTTTGTGTTGATACCCCACAACAAAACGATATTGCCGAAAGAAAAAATAAACATCTCCTTGAAGTTATTCGTTCTTTTCTATTTACCACTAATGTTCCAAAATATTTGTGGGGGGAAGCCTTATTAACTGTCACATATTTAATCAATCGAATGCCTGGTAAGGTTTTACAATTTCAAACACTTCAATATATATTTTTGCAATACTTTCCCCATTTTAAACCTATCTTCTCCATTCTTCCACTTAAAATATTTGGTTGTACTGTTTTTATTTAAAACATTGCTTCTAATAAGTCCAAGTTAGATCCTAAATCATTAAAGTATGTACTGGTTGGGTATTCTTCACTTAAGAAATGTTATAAATGCTATCATCTTCTTTCAAAACAATTTTTTACCACTATGGATATAACATTTTATGAGCAGGATCCCTATTTCACTCAGGCTTAAATTCAGGGGGAGACATGGAAGGATTTTCAGCCACATCAGGTATCTCCTCCTACTCTTCATTCTCAACTTTCAGAATTGCCACCAATTTTGTCCTTACCTACAGATTTGTCACCTGTAACTACTCCTATTGATCCACCGGTAGTACCTATCACTACTTCACCCATACCCACTTTAAATACCCTTCCTGAAAATACACCTACTCACATTCAAAATATTCCACAAATAACACCAATCAAACAGCTCCGTTTCTATACAAGGAAAAGAAAACATATTCCTGAGGCTGTTTTGCAATCTGATGCTTGCCGAGAATTGGATTTGGGTCCAGCTGCCGAAATAGAAGAAGAAATCAGTAAGTCCACTTCCCCTACTCTAGATGACTTCCCTATTACTATTAGAAAAGGGATTAGACAGTGTACCAAGCATCCTATTGAAAAATTTGCTGGTTATAATTCATTGATGCCGTCTTTTCAAGCATTTACAACAAACTTGGATAAAGAACAGGTTCCTACAAGCATAGCTGAAGCTCTAAAGGATTCAAAATGGAAAAGGGCTGTTGAAGAGGAAATTTGTGCACTAGAGAAAAATGCTACTTGGACTGTTACGGACCTTCCTCAAGGAAAAAAGGTGATTGGCTGTAAATGGATCTTTACTGTAAAGTATAACTCAAATGGTAGCATCCAACGATACAAAGCGAGACTAGTGGCCAGAGGCTTTACACAAACATATGGGATAGATTTCACAGAAACTTTTGCACCTGTGGCAAAGCTGAATACTGTTCGAGTACTCCTAAGTTTAGCTGTAAATTGCGATTGGAAATTACACCAACTTGATGTAAAAAACGCTTTTCTTAATGGCAAGCTAGAAGAAGAAGTCTATATGATGTTGTCACCTGGCTTAAAGTCTGTTGAAGGAAGTAACAAGGTGTGCAAGCTCAACAAGTCTCTATACGGATTAAAACAATCACCCAGAGCTTGGTTCGAGAGGTTCACTAAAGTCATCCTAAAAAACGGCTACAAGCAATCTCTCGCCGATCACACTCTTTTCATCAAGGTAACTTCTACAAATAAGAAAGTTATCCTTATTGTGTATGTGGACGACATAATTCTTACCGGAGATGATGAAGAAGAGATTTGCAATTTGAAGAAGTTGTTAAATAAGGAATTCGAAACTAAGGACTTGGGAAAGCTAAGGTATTTCCTAGGAATGGAGGTGGCAAGGTCAAAAGAAGGACTTGTGATCAACTAAAGAAAATATGTACTTGATTTACTCAAAGAAACTGGTTTTCTTGGTTATAAGCCGATTGATACACCATTGGAGGTAAGCTTGAAATTTAACAAAGAAGATGGGTCATTGGTAGACAAAGAGAAATTTCAAAGATTAAATGGGAAACTAATTTATTTATCCTTGACAAGGCCAGATATAACATTTCCTGTAAATGTGATAAGTCAACACATGACTAATCCTACTGAAGAGCATATGGCAGCAGCAAATAGAATTCTCAAGTATTTAAAGAAAACTCTAGGACACGGTTTAATGTTTAAGAAGACACAAGACAGAACTGTTAAGATCTTTACAGATTCTAGTTGGGCCGGAGACCTTACTGAAAGGAGATCCACTAGTGGCTACTGCACCTTTGTTTGGGGAAACCTTACAACTTGGAGAAGTAAGAAACAATCTGTCGTTTCAAGAAGTAGTGCTGAAGCTGAATTTAGAGCACTAGCATTGGGAATATGCGAAGGAATTTGGCTACTTAAACTACTGAAAGAACTTGTCACTAATTAAGAGGATCACTTTGAAGTTTTGTGTGATAATCAATCTGCTATTCAAATTGCCAAGAACCCAGTTCAACAGATCGGACAAAGCATGTTGAGATTGATAGGCATTTTATTGCTGATCAAGTTAACAAAAAGACAACCACACTTTCATACATTCCTTCAGAAGAACAAGTTGCAGACATTCTTACTAAGGCTTTGCCAAAGCCTGTTTTCAATAAATTCCTATTCAAGCTGGGATTATACAATGTATATTCTCCAGCTTGAGGGGAGTGTAGGAATTATAGAGATGATTTGTTACCATTCCTATAGAGATATGATTTGTTATCATTCCTATAGAGATATGATTTGTTACCATTCCTATAGAGATATGATTTTGTAAATAGATTTCTACAATTCCTTATTTTAAGGGTTCATATCTTAGGATTATTATTTTTCCTTTCTTAGAGTTTCCTATTTTAGAGAGATATTTTGTATATAAATATGTAATCTGTCATATTGAAAAGAATAAGAAATTACAGAGAATTACTCTGATTTCTACATTTTCCATATATTTTTTTGGGGGTGGTCTTTGAGGGGTCATATCTCTATACCCATGTTTTCATGTTGGCATTGGACTTAGATGTCAGATTTGGGTATCTAAAGAAAAATGAAGAGTCAAAGCTAAAGATAAGCCCTTAACTTCTTAATCCAGAACAGATAAACATTATTGAAAATCCTTGCACATAATTTGTGTTTCCCGTGGCAGTGTTAACTAGAATGGTCTGTAGGTTTCGAAACAGGGAAATACATAGAAATATGTCTTTCTTTAGAAATCCTGCAGGTGTTAACCCAGTCTTCCTGTCATTGCCATTTTCCTTCTACCTTGAATTTTTTTTGTTGCAGTAACGACCTATTCATCTGAAAACAGGATCATTTGAAGTGCGATCAAATCAAAGCCGGAAAAGAGACATAGTTATAGGAATTTGAGGAAGGCATTGTCCATTGGCTATGCTAATCAGCTTGCTGAGAGGATGAGGAATCATAATGGCTTCGAACACTGGGTTTTAAGCCGCAACTAGTGCAGGTATCAATTTTTAATAGTTTAATCTTGTGGTAGTTTATTGTATATGAGAGGATTATTTAATTTGATGGCTACATTCCCTTTGTTTAAAATCGGGTTTGAAGACATACATAGATACCAAAGAAATTTTGAATATTTATCAGGGGTGTCATATATATAAGAGCATTGAGGTTGAAAGTTTGAAACCATTGCTGATTCTTGATCGTTCAAGTATATTGTTGTTCAAAATGTAACTAAAGCAATTATTGTTGATGTTAGGTGCATCCTTCCTCTGTGCTAAAGCCAGATGACGACGGATTATATCCAAATTATGTTGTCTACCACGAACTTATTGCTACCTCACGGCCATATATGAGGAATGTGTGTACCGTAGAGCGTCAATGGGTGATGCCCATTTCAGAGAAACTTGAAAAACTCGATGTAAGAAAATTAAGGTAAATCAATCAGATTTTGAGACACATATCAAGATAATTTTCTTGTTCTCTGATTTAAGATTTAGCACATATTTGAGCTTAGCTCTCTTCTTTTCTTCATGAAGTGGTGGAGGATTGGGTCATGTAGAAGAGGTAACCGAGGGAAACACGTCAGAATTGCCAAAGAAGGGAGCTGACGTTATAGCTCCGGAAGAGCGGGAAAGTAAAATCCAGGCAGCAAGGGAACGTTTTCTTGCTCGCAAGGGAAAGAAATGAATTTGGGTACAACGGACTAGTGCAGGACCTTCCAACACTTAGAATTGCTGATGGGGATGAGAATCATGTATGCTCGTGATTTCCAAGTTCCAGCTATCTCTTCTTTCGAAATTTACGAATGGCATGTGGACTTGATGCTTATACAGGCCTTTGGTAAGTGAGCTCGGCTACAGTATGTGTCAGCCGGAGGCAAGCAACATTCTATTCCTCGACACAAAAGCGCACGGTTTGGATATGATTCTAGATCAACCTCGTAATTTGAATGTATACACAGACGAAAGGATAAAGACTACATTTGCCCTGAACTTATAGGTCAAGTTAACCATTATCCTTTCATATATAGTTGTACTTTGTTAGGGTTTACCCCCTTTTTTTATAAAAAAAAGAATATGAATATATTTTAATAAAAAGGGGGTAATATATGTTAAACATTCAAAAGGTAACACCTATTTCAGTGTAGTGTTAAACATTTTGATATATATTTACATATTTTGGCATTTTGGTGTAGTTTTAGAAATTTTGTATGGATAATATATGTTGGTAGAATAAAATATTTTGATATTAGTATTAAATACTTTGATGGTTGTTAAAAATGTTTACAGACATTAACCAATTGTCAATAGGCGTTGATCGTATACTCAAATATTTAACGAAATACTGGAACTATTATACACAAACTTCTGACGGAATACTAAAATATTGTACTAAGCAAAACAAAATCCTTTAAAAAAAATCAAACATAATCATCCAACGAAAACAATATATTAATAAAAAAAATTATAATAATTAATTATTCAATTTGGTACGCACTAATCACGTAATGCATGATTTCGACACTTGTATTCTACATGTAAAGATATTGTTAAAAAAAGTGATATTCTATTTTGAGATTTTAAATATAAACAATTACGTTTGTAAGATGCGTATACATCGTTAGTGGTTAAAAGAATTATGAACCGAAACTCCCTTGTAATCCCAAGCCAAACCCTCTGTTTCAATCAGTTTTTCCGACACTACCCTCCGCCAACCTTGGTTGTTCAATGGAATTTCGGTATTAATGGTAACATTTTTCCGCATCAATGTCAAAGCGCCTAGTTTGTATCGTCGTTAGCGATGAGTTGAGCAACTCGTGAGCAGCTCGAACTTGATTCGGTTAAAACTTGATAAAAGTTCGATTTAGGTTGATTCGATTCGAAGATCTTAATAGATTAAATGTCATTACATTTATTTGGATAGAAGGGATCAATAATTAAATTAAAAGCTGAATTCGTAAATCCCATTGTAAAGACAACAAATAATAGACTAGGTACCGATATCCTAGCGTTGTGGGGGTGTTAACTCTTACCCACACGTAATCAACTCTCAAACTCATTTTCTGGAAAGTAGACCAAAACGTTATTTTAATAATTTTTAAAATTAAATTTTATCAAAATGACAACATTTTGGGTGATCCAATCACACCCTAAACAAAAGTTTGGTGGTGACTCTTTCAAACCATATTTTTATTTTAAAACCCAAATTTAGTCGAAAAGAACCCCTAATTTTTTTCAATTTGTCGGGATGTTACGAGAGCTTGACGACTCTGCTGGAGACTTTTTTTTAGAGAGTCTGGCCATTAGTATATTAATTATTATCTTTGCAATGGAAATTATGAACTCAACTTAATTTAGTTTTTGATCCATTTGGTTGTGCTTATTTGTTTGCATTCATTCTAAAAAACTTTAGTGACATATGCACACTTGTGATTGTTCTTACTGATATGTGCATTCGTGGATTTCAGATTCTTATATTAAACGAGTTGAATTGAGTAAAATGCATGTTAGTTTGGTAAAGGCAGGGAGGTTTCTCCTGACACACTCACTGCATTTGCATAATATAAACCCTATACATGGGTTATCCCATTTAAGTAAGGGTGAAAACGACGCCTTCATAGGATATGTTTCCTCATGCAGGCCTAGCGACTAGCCTTCGGGGTCTACAACTTATGTGTTGAAAACATTTTTAATGTTTCTGTAATATCCCAGAAATTTGGATAATGACCAAAATGAAAATTTTGAAAGTTTGATGGTCAAAGTAGAAAATTGGGAAAAAGTTTAGGGAATTAAGTGATAAATTTCCTAAAAAGAATTCTATTCCATAAAGAGATAGTTTACTCTTGAGAGTGGAATTTTATAGAAATCATATTTTTGGATTTGGAATTTTAGTAAAGAAAAATTAGAAAAGGTTAAAGCCGATAAGGAATCGATAATTTCAGATCGAAGTGGAATTTTACAAAAATTTGAAGGATATTATAAAATGGTTGGAAATATTATTTTAATATTTTGGATCAGAGAACTTTGGTTTGGAAATGTGCAATTTTTCAGATTTAACCGAAACAGTGGAATTTAGTGACTAAAACGCAATTTTTGAAAATTCATGGGGAATTTCAGAAATAAAAGTCAAATTAATTCATATTTGACTTTGTAATATGATAAGGATGAGGTGGCTTGGTTTTATGGTGAATAGGATGATTCATTAAGGGTGATTTGGTCTTATCTCAAGTGAATGAATATTTTATTCATTTAAAGTTGGATTAAATGTAAATTAAGATGAAATGTACATAACATTTCATTTCACATGCTCATCTTCTTCTCCAAAGCTGCATGGGTTTTCTCCTAAGGTAAGAGAAAGCTTCAATTAAATTTTCAAGAAATTTCCTTAGGATTTTGAGTATGTTGAAAATAGAAAATTGTTATATGCGAAAAACACTATCATTTAGTACCAATATTGCATGATAATATTGTTAGAGTTCAAGTTCATCTTGAGTTGATGAAGGGGATGTTGATTCTTGTGTTTTATGGGTTATGAAGAGTTAAGTGATTTTAAAGAATTGGTTGTAAGAATTGATGAAGAACCTAAGGGTGAGATTAAAGAAAACAGTTTAGATTTTGAGATTGACAGTGGGTTTGAAAATTCACCAGAATTTATATAAAAATCATTTGGAGCTTATTTTTATATATTTGTGTTCATATATCGATCTAGTTTTGTTTAAAATAAACGGAGATTAATTTCAAGGTGTATACAAAAAGATATGAATTTTTAACCAAGGAAAGGTCAGAAAAAAAATCGGACAACAGATTCTGCAAAACAGATTCTATTGATCAACTTTGAAAATTCACCATAAATTGTACAAAATGAATTAGAAGGAGTTATTTATATGGATAGATTCGTATTCGAGTATAGTTTTCAATGGAATAAATGGAATTAAATTCCAGTATGTATATCAATACAAAAATACTGATTCTTTAAAGGTAGTGCGAGTTGTCTGAATATGAAAAATTGATGGGTTGTTGTGTAAGTGTTATATAATTGATGTATGCTGGAAATTGTTATTTGGGAATTGAAATGAGTTTTAGATGTGAAATATGACTATTTTGGAAGTTTGAAAAGATTTGTGATTTAAATACAATATTTGCATAGTTGGGGTACTTAAATGTAGTTATGCTTTTGTAAAAACATTTGAATTGTAATAATTTCAATATTGGAATTTTTGTATTGAAATTTTAAGTGGTAAAATGGTGAAGGACCATTTTGAGTAAATTGGAAAAGTTGGTTCCAATATTAAAAAAGAATTAATAAGAGTTAAAGTAGTTGGTGGTGAATAGTTTGAAGTATGATTATGGAATTTATTTTGGAAATATGTTTATGTTAGTACAATACTAACATATATATAGGTATGAATCTATATTTTGTACAGATCGTGATTTACTCGGTGTTCAAAGCAATTCGAATATAAAAGGAAAGGGTTACTATGGACAATAGTGAGGCACATATGTAGGAAATTATAAAGTGTCAAGGTGAGTGCAATATATGCATGAAATTATACATGGATGTTTTATACATCATAGGGAAAACTTGCGATAAGTCGACCTTTATATGAGTAAGATATTATGTCATATTTTTATAAATTGACATGACATTGATATGTCACAGTATGAAATTATAATGCATTGATTATGGAAAATGTGATATTTTATCCTAAATGTTATTTTGGGTATGAACTGCCCCAATGTTAAATTATGAAAATATACTTTGCCATGAATGGATCAAAATAAAATTGACTATATGCCCAAGTATGTTATTGAGGATCAGTGGTATTAATGGCATGCCATAGAGTCTAGCAGTTGCATATTAGGTAGTACTAGAGTGTCTACATAAGGCATATAGTGCATGCCTCAAAAAGTCTAGCGAAGACATGGTACAAAACACTATGGTGTATTAGGTGAGCAATGCTCGACCTCAGCACTTCGGTGCAATATTTGACTCCTATACCGGGTTCCTCATACATTTATACTTTGGGTTATAGTTTATGGTTTATTGGTTAATAAATGGTAGCCATGCAAATAAGCTTACGAGCTTATGGAATAATGGCAAGTATATTGGTAAAATAAGCTTACGAGCTTATGGGATTAAATGGTAAGTATTTTGGTAAAATAAGCTTACAAGCTTATGGAACAAATGGTAAGTATATTGTTAGAATAAGCTTACGAGCTTATGGAATAAATGGTAAGTATATGGTAAAATATTGGATATGCAAATAACATGATTTTATGGCATTTTGGAATTTGACATGTAAATTCATGCATGAATTGTATTGCACTATTTATTGTTTTAATTGCCTCACTAAGTTTATACTTAGCGTGTGATGATTTTCACGCGTAGGTAAAAAGCCAGTGGTAGAATAAAGAGTTTGGAATGACATCAAGCATCGAGGAGTATATTTCAATATCAATAAGACATCCTATGATGAAATTTGACTTAGAAAGTGGCATGTAATTAATAATGTTCAATTTGTTTTATAGAATAAATTTGGAAACAAAATGGTAAATTTACAGTGATGAAAGATTAAGTTTTTAAGAGTTTTATGTAATTTTTGGAAATTACTGTAGCAGTGCATCGATACACATTTTAAGTTCGAAATTTTTGTGCATCGGTATACTGTTTACGGTACTGTAGCAGTGCATCAGTACACTGTTCACGACAATGTTCACTGTTCACTATTCATAAAAAATATTTTACCTTAAATTTGTTATAATGAAACATAATTCATATGATATGATATTTTTATAATATCATTTACCGTTTTAAGAAAATAAATTTTAAATCACTTGTAAAAGTGGAAATGGTTTAAGAAATTTGGGTGACATCTGTAATCTGTATAGGTATAATTATACGGGTTATGGGTGTTACATTTATTGGCATCAGAGCTACAAGTTTAGGCGATTCTAGGACTAAATCAAGGTTGTTTTAAGTTAAAAAGTGTATACATGCCACTAGGATGTCAAAAGTTATTGATAGTTGTATATATATTGTGATGATGCTTATTGGGA